TCTTAGTTATATACAGGTTGATTCTTTAGATGGGAATTATTTTCTCCGACTGTGTTTCTTGTCCCTTCGAAATGAGTCCAAAGTTGTGATATTTTGGTAAAAGGTGGGATATTTTCCACTCTTCTCTCTCTCTCTTCTGTCTTGGCCACTCAAGAGATAGTCCAACAGCTCAGTTCAGCTTTCAGCTCAAAAAAGCGGTAATATATCAAAAGCCTTTATCCGTTTAAAATGCAAAATCTAATAATTTAAATATATTCTCTCGAAATTATAATTACGTTTTTCAAACGTTTCGGTAAATATATATAGACAATCGCGTACAGTAAACATTTGCCTAAGTTCTCTTATTTAAGTACACTTTAACTACCCGATGTTTCGTTTGCAACAGCCATAGTCACGGGAAGACTGTCTCTACGTGTATGTATCGCGTTTTAAACCGTTAGGAATATATTAACCTATTTTGCAATCACTTTGCAACAGCCGTAGAGATGACGAGGTATTAATGGAAAAGTAGTGAGGTCATTGTTAATGTAAAAAAAAATCTGCTACGCCAGCGCCACCTTTTATCATTCTCAGTTCGTTGATATTTACTTGTTTTGAGAGGTTTGCTTTTATTTAATTCTTCGCGTTTAATAGCGTTAAAAGTGTTTTAATTAAATGAAATGTAAAATAAAATGTCATCGCCGTGATCACGGGGAGACACGTCCCTGTCTCTGTCTGTGTAATAGTAATTTTCAAACAAGTTTTACTAAAATATATCGCGTTTTAAACCGTTAACGTGTTTACTTTAAATGCAGCTGCATTGTCTGTTGTTTATAGAAGTAACTCGCGCAAACTATTTTTTATATTAGCTAGCTATTATTAGGCTTTTTTCCTTATTTTACTCGCGCTAATATAGAGATTAGATTTTTTATTGGACATTATAAATTCAGAACAAAAAAAACAATGAATTCTTATATAATATATATATAAAAATAAAAACTTATCTATATGTGTGTCAGCGACTTCGTCCGCGTAGAATAATTATTTTGCGCAACCAAATTTGCTTTTGCAAACATTTACAAATTAAAAAATTGCAAATCTTTATAAATTCAAGCTGCCCACGAATTCGGTCGCGTCCTTATCGCGTCCATAATCTTAAAATATAGACATATACACTCTTATTACAAGACAAGGATTAACTATCTACAACTGGTTTTCAGAACTTTGGCACCAGTGCGCCCCTTGCACATTTTTCCATAACAACTGATAGTCGTTTTTAGTGGAATTAGAACAAACATACAAATCATTTTAATATATTGTCGTCGTATTTCGACAATTTTTTGCTTTATTTACAGTCGTACGTGTGACTCTATTTTATAGTTGTATTCTAAACGCAGTAACTAACCGGTTTGGATGGTTGAGAACGTATTAGTTCATCCTGTATATACCGCTATAAAAACAAGTATATAAACCATTGGCTATTGTTTTTGAGGCAGTATTTCCCTAACTCACACGTGATGAGTTTCAAAAACAAGGTCGCGTTAATAACCGGAGCCAGTTCGGGCATCGGGGCCGCTATGGCGGCGGAGTTCGCCAGAAACGGCGCAAATGTCGCCATCGTCGGGAGAAACCTGGCGAGGCTGCAGAGAGTCGCCGAAATATGTGCCACTTACGGTTCGAAACCGCTGGTCATCCAAGCGGACATAGGTCAAGAAGGCGCAGTGAAGAATATATTTGTCCAAGTGGCCAAGACGTTCGGTAAGCTGGACGTGCTGGTGAACAACGCTGGCTTCATGCATCCAGGGTCGCTTTTGGAAGGCAACATCCTGGACTCCTACGATAAAACCATGAACGTGAACCTTCGCGCAGCCATCCATATCACTTCTTTGGCAGCGCCGCTCTTGGCCGAGACGAAAGGGAACGTGGTTAATATCTCCAGTGTAGCTGGTACCACAGTGACCAAGATGAAAGGCTCGATGGCCTACTGCGTCTCCAAAGCTGCTATGAACCATTTCACGAGGTGCGCTGCTAAGGAACTGGCGACAGTTGGCGTTAGAGTTAACACGGTGAGCCCAGGTCCAGTCAAAACTGACTTCTTGGATAACGCTGGTAGTACAGACCTGAAGGTTGAGGACTTCGCTGAAACCATGCCACTGAAGAGGATTTCGGAGCCTAAGGAAATAGCTGACTTGGTGCTGTTCTTGGCTAGCGATAAAGCTGTTGGGATTACTGGTTCTGAATTCGTTTCTGATGATGGTTATCTTTACGCGAGTCATTGAAGTATGGAATATTGAAGTATAGGCTGCTAGAGCCAGAGTGGCCTGATCAAGAAACAAGATTTTCAGAATCAGGAGGAAATTAAAAATGTGCAACTTAGGCGAAAATGAATTTGTACTATTTGTGTAAGAATTGTGTTAACAATTTTCGGTCACTGTGCTCTTGTAGATTAACAGTTGTATACTATAAATAAGTCAAGTGTTTTCTACTTTAGGACGCAGATCATTTGTGGCTTAACTATATTCTTGATCTATCCTAACGATACATAGATAATAGTTATTATTTACGATAGTTAATGTTAAAACAAATAAAATGTTAAATTTCATTAAAAAAGATGTAAATTAAAACAGGATTCTAATATTTAAAAAAAAGTGTATCTTTCCGATGTTCAAATTACAAGTCTTCCAACATTTTTAATGGATGTATGTTTTGAGGTTAAGAAATAAAATAAATTAATTCAATGTTACTTTATTTATTATTTTAAATTTAAAAATGCGACTTATTGGTTAATTTATTTTTTAAAAAAGTCTTAATTATGCTTATAGTCTACTAGCTGTGTAACTTCGTCCGCGTAGAATTGTTATTTTGGGTAACCAAATTTGTTCTTGCAAACCCCAAAATGCATTGCAAAATCTTTATAAACAAAATCTGTTACAAACGACGTCGGTCGCGTCCCTTCCCGTCGTTCTTGCAAGTTAATCTTAAAAGATACACATATAACGTCCTGGACTTTTTTTTAGATCATTTAACGAGGATTAATTCTTTCCTACATATTTTTTGGATATCTTGAACCGTTTTCGCAGAGTACGCCTCAGAAACCCATAATGAGAAAAATATTCTCCGTTTTTTTCACATTACCCGTTGGTACTTAGCTTAGATTAAGCCTATATAAATATAGCCTTCATCGATAATTTTTTTTCCCATAGCACATAAAAATTCATTTCGAACCAGTAGTTTCTGAATTGCGCGTTCAAACAAACAAACTCTTCAGTTTTTTATATTAGTATAGATTAACGTCGTACTACCACAATCAAAGACCGCCGCTATAGCTAAATGGTTAAACTTGTTGCCTAGCGTTAAGCTCGAGGGTCCTAGATTTGAATCCCGGGGAAACAGTAGATTGTAAAGTCGGGCACAGAAGTCTGATCAACTACTTGCCTGTAAATGAAACCGATCAGTAAAACGTACACAGAAATGTGCTCGCCCCATGCCCCATGCCCCACGGGGGAAACGCGCCAGCACCTTCAAAGTGTGTTTGAGTCTCGTCTGTATAATAATTGTTTTTAAAAGATAAGGTAGGGATTACTATTTTAGGTTCTATGAATGTCATCACTATAGTCTTTTTAGAACTTATCCCTTTGAATTTGAATATTTTCTTTCGTATTATTATTAGTTTATTCCTAATGTCTCTGATTTAAAGTAAATACCTAAGAATAGTTCCCAAGCGAGATTAGCACAAGTTCGTCATATTGGAGAGTCTTCTTCTAAAAATGATCGTCTGGAAAGTATTAGAGTGTTACGCGTCCCAATCGCGAGCCAGAGAATCTAGCATCGAACGTTCAGTTCGTCTTGCAGAAGGAAATGCAAGATCGTCGCAGCAACACGAACGACAGTCTAGCGCCGAGCGCTCGCGGCGACTTGAGGGAAAAAGAGTCTAGTCGGACTCTAACACTGAACGCTCGCAGCGGCTCCTGACACAGCGTGATAGACAAAGGTCGTTAACAGCTAGGACGCGCAATACTTTTTTTTTCTAATTTAGTGATTCATGGTAGTTTTAATTAGCATGGTTAAAATTTAAATATCTGTGTACCTATATAAGTCTACCCGTACGAAGCCGGCACTGGCCACTAGTACTAAAACACAAGGTTATTCTTTGTTGATACTAAAGCTGAAACACGCCAAACGGCTTTTTATTCGCAGAATTAGGATAAAAAATAAATTATTCCGCTTTAAAGAAAAAAATGTATCTCTTTTAAGATTAATTTGCAAGAACGACGGAACGCGACCGAAATTATAAAGATAGAGAAAAAAGAAATAATATTATTATATAATTTTGACCAAAATTATAATATACAATAATTTTGACTAATATACATATATATCGCGTTTAAAATCGTTAAGTCTTTATTTAAATGTGTACTACTTGCGTAAACAACTGTCTGTAGTTTACGCAATAACGTATGTAGGTATTTTGTTTCAGCAAACTGGTAAGCCAGTAACAATGCTGTCCATGACCTTCTATTGATTTCAATTAAACACATGTAACGGTTTAAAACGCGATATATTTACTTTGACTCTTCATGTATTTTGTGTAGTTGACGCGGGTAGTACACGTTTAATAAAACACTTGTAACGGTTTAAAACGCGATATATTTACTTTGACTCGTCATGTATTTTGTGTATGCTGACGCGGGTAGTACACGTTTAATAAAACACTTGTAAAAGGTTAGGTATTTCTTTGCTCGTCTGTATTTTGTGTAGCTGACGCGGGTAGTACACGTTTAATAAAACACTTGTAACGTTTAAAACCGATATATTTCTTTGACTGGCATGTTTTGTAGTACGGGTATAAAAACTTTGCTATACGCTGGGGTACATCACCTACCATGAAGTGAACTCCAAGTTTTTCCGTCCGTAGAGAACTATCATTAAATGAAGACGTTCGTCAATAAATGCCTTTCTTGCCGCTGCGGTAATGTACTATTTTCTTCTACGTTTAAGGCGCCTTCATAATCATCCAACTGATGGACCTGATCCAGGTCTGGGGTGATATAGCACTGATGAAGTCAACTGCCTTCGTCCTCTGCATCAACATGGTACGCACGATTAAGATCACCAATCTTCTAAGACGGAAGCAGCGCATTGGGAAGCTTGTACGAAGCAACAATAAAGTTTTGCAGCAAGCTACTGGTGTTGAGGAAAGGAAACTACTTCAAAAGTTGGTATTCATACTTTTTAGAACAAAAAAGACATTTTATTAGGTATCACAAGGCACGCGTACAAATCAAACTTATTTGTTAGTTTTAATAGTTTAAAACACGAAATATATTAGCTAACTCATTTACAATTTATTTTAAGTATGGCTCGTCGTTTCAGATGCTTAGCAGCGGCCGTGGTGACGTAGTCACTGTTTAAAAATTAAACACTTTTAACTAAAAAATATCACTTTACTTCCTTTATTTTTTTCGTAACTACAGATGTTTTGAACACTAAGCAGCTACATAGATTTAAACCGTTAAAAGTTGTGTTAAAATTTCAATTGAATTTTTATTAGTGACCACGTGACCACAGCTCCACCATGTCGAGTCGTAAAATATGTAAAATGTAATTATTCAATATTTTTTTTTAATGAATCAGCTTAATAAGAAATTGAATAAATGCATACTATTATAGTTTGTTCGTTTGAACTATTTAACAGCTGGAAGTACTCGTTTGAATTTAAAAATCATTTACCGATGTGGTGGTTGGACTATTTATGGAAAAAGACTTTAGACTATATAAACACATGCTGCGACCTATAAAAGTCAATATACAGTGGGAAATGTGGGAAAAGCGAGGAGGATTATTTACCTTTAAGGCTTTCCGTTGTGTGTGCTGCGAAAACGGTTCGAGATACCCAAAAAAAATATGTATCAAATAATGATTACTTTATAAATGATCTATGGTATGCTGGTATATGTCTATCTTTTAAGATTAACTGTAATCAAGTTTTGGTAGAACTACTTCATATGGCAAATCGCCTTTACTGTCCCTATGTACGCTTCCATCTTTCAAACTACGCAACGGATTTTGGTACGGCTTTTGTATTATCTATATATATATATATAGTATTTAGTATCAGCATTGCACCCTAGCGAAGCCGGGGCGGGTCGCTAGTAAAATTATATACGTATACAGCACATAGCACAAGGACGCTTTGTTCTTAGTTATATACAGAGTGGTTCTTTAGATGAAAATTATTTTTTCCGACTGTGTTTCTTGTACCTTTGAAATTAGTCCAAAGTTGTGATATTTTGGTAAAAAATGGGATATTTTCCACTTTATCCACTTCCATTTCTTCTTCTCTTCTCTCTCTAATCTAATATATCAAACACCTTTATCCGTTTAAAATGCGAAATCTAGTAAACTTTTTAATAGATACGACCCGATATTTCAGATAGTATGTAGCAGATCACGATCACAAGATATAACTACGAGTAAAGTTTAAATAACAATCAGTTAGTGAAATAGACACATATAGTGTGTCCGCCCCATACCCCAAAGGGGGAAGTGGGATTTCTACCTATGTGGATTATGAAATAATAATAAGCCGACAAGGTGACACGATGTTAACAGGCGATTTGTTACTTATAATTATTTAAATATATTCTATCGAAACTATAATTAATATACAAACGCGTACAGTAAACATTTGCCTGATTTTACTCGCACTATTATAGAGAATAGATTTTTTATTGGACATTACTTTATCAATTCTCAACAAAAGAAACAATGAATTATTATATGATATATATAAAAATAATGACTTACTAGCTGTGTATGTGTGTGCGTAGCAGCGCTCGCGCATCTGATACCCATAGAGATGAAAAATTTCCCCCGTTTTGTTCACATTTCCCGCTGTATCTTCATTTCTATTCACACACACACACGCGCAATGATTTTTTAACCCATAACCTTCCTCGATAGATCCTCTAACGAACAAAAAAAGAAGTTTTCTATTAGAACTCGTATTCCCTGAGATTAGTGCGTTCAAACAAACTCTTCAGCTTTATATATTAGTATAGATTATTACTGTATTTAGTATTTGAAAAGCAATTCCCTAAAAGTGGAAGGAGGAGAAAGGATCCCAGAGCTAGGATCCTTTCGGCTCTACCACTGGTTTTCAGAGCTTTGGCATCAGTCGATAGTCTGATAGTCGTTTTCGAGTGGAATTAGAACAAATATACAAATCATTTTAGTCTTGTGTGTATTGTATTGCTTTATTACAGTCAAACATGTGACTCTATTTTATAGTTGTATTCTAAACGCAATAACTAAACCGTTTTAGATGGTCAAGAACGTATTAGATCAACCTGTATATACCGCTATAAAAACAAGTATATAAACTATTGACTATTATTTTTACGGCAGTATTTCCCTAGCCCACACGTGATGAGTTTCAAAAACAAGGTCGCGTTAATAACCGGAGCCAGTTCGGGCATCGGGGCCGCTATAGCGGTAGAGTTCGCCAGAAACGGGGCAAATGTCGCCATCGTCGGGAGAAACCTGGCGAGGCTGCAGAGCGTCTCCGAAATATGTGCTGCGCACGGACCGAAACCGCTGGTCATCCAAGCGGACATAGGTCAAGAAGACGCAGTGAAGAATATATTTGTCCAAATGGCCAAAATGTTCGGTAAGCTGGACGTGCTGGTGAACAACGCTGGCTTCATGCATCCAGGGTCGCTTTTGGAAGGCAATATTCTGGAGTCCTACGATAAAACCATGAACGTAAACCTTCGCGCAGCCATTCATATCACTTCTTTGGCAGCGCCGCTCTTGGCTGAGACGAAAGGAAACGTGGTTAATATCTCCAGTGTGGCTGGTAGCACAGTGACCAAGATGAAAGGCTCGCTGGCCTACTGCGTCTCCAAAGCCGCTATGAACCATTTCACGAGGTGCGCTGCTAAGGAACTGGCGACAGTTGGCGTTAGAGTTAACACAGTGAGCCCAGGTCCAGTAAAAACTAACTTCTTGGAGAACGCTGGAAGTACAGACCTGAAAATTGAGGACTTCACTGATGACATGCCGCTGAAGAGGATTTCGGAGCCTAAGGAAATAGCTGACTTGGTGCTGTTCTTGGCTAGCGATAAAGCTGTTGGGATTACTGGTTCAGATTTCGTTTCTGATGATGGTTATCTTCACGCGAGTCATTGAAATATAGAATATGTGGCTGCTAGAGCCAGAGTGGCCGGATCAAGAAACAAGATTTTCAATAAGGAGGAAAATAAAAATGAGCAATTAATTTAGGCGAAAATGAATTTGTACTATTTGTGTAAGAATTGTGTTAACAGTTTTAGACTATAAAAAAGTCAAGTGATAAAATAACAGTTAGGCTACTCTACCTCTGGCAGCCTCATATGTGCAAGGTGAACGTTTAAGTACAAGACGATATTCTTGATCTATCCGAACGATACATAGAGAGTTATTTGTTGTTGATTACGATAGTTAATGTTAAAACAAATAAATAGTTAAATTTCATTTAAAAAGATGTAAATTAAAACAGGATTGTAATATTTAAAAAAAAGTGTATCTTTCCGATGTTCAAATTACAAGTCTTCCAACGTTTTATAATGGATGTATGTTTTGAGGTTAAGAAATAAAATAAATTAATTAAATGTTTTTTTTATTTATTATTTTAAATTTAAAAATGCGACTTATTATTTAAATTAAAGTCTTAATTATGCTTATAGTCTACTAGCTGTGTCAGCGACTTCGTCCGCGTAGAATTGTTATTTTGGGTAACCAAATTTGTTCTTGCAAACTCCTTCATTTTTATAAACAAAATCTGGTACAAACGACGTCGGTCGCGTCCCTTCCCGTCATTCTTACAGAGTAATCTTAAAAGATACACATATAGCGTGCGGAATTTTTTTTTAGATCATTCAAAGAGACAACATTCCCCTATACATAGATTTTGGATATCTTGAACCGTTTTCACAGCGCACGCCTCGGAAACCCCGTTTCGTTCACATTTCCCGCTATATCTTCGCTTCTACTAGTCACAGCGCGATATTCTAGCCTATAGTCTTCCTGGATGAATGCTCTAACTAACACAAAAAGAATTTTTCAATTCCGTAGTTCCCGAGATTAGCGCGTTCAAACAAACAAACTCTTCAGCTTTATATATTAGTATGATTAACGACGTACTATCACGCCCAAAGACCGCCTCTGTAGCTAAATGGTTGAACTTGCAGCCTAGCGTTAAGCACGAGGGGTCCAGGATTCGAATCCCGGGTAAACATCAGCCTGTAAATGAAACCGATAAGTCAAAAGGACACAATGTGTGAATTGAAAGCTAAAATGGGAACTCCTACTTTTCTCCGTAAAGTTTTGCCTCCAATTTTGAATTTTGCGTTATTTTCAATTACTTCCACTATACCTAGTTTTTTTTATTATTTAAAAGGTCTTTTCAACAACATTTGTATTCAAATTAATTAGCATACAAAGGAATTGCCGACACGTGCAATCATTAATTCCGAATATCCAAAGCCAAAATAGGTCAACAACAAATCTTGCTTCGACGTTATATGGCTACCCCAGCCACCTAACATCCAGTGAACCACATCTGTCATCCTCTATGAAAATTTACGACACGGGCAGGACTCGAACCGGCATCCACAGCGCTGTGGTTATAAACTATGATAATGTACAATAACGTGTGAAAAATATTAGAATTTTTATGTCGTATTAGTTTAGGGGGGGGGGGGGGGGGGCGGGATCCCCGGGGGGAAAAAAAAAAAAAAGAAAAAAAAAAAAAAAAAAAAAAAAAAAAAAAAAAAAAAAAAAAAAAAAAAAAAAAGGGGGGGTTGGGGGGGGAAAAAACCAAAAAAAAAAACGGGGGGGGGAAAAAAATGGGGGGGAAAAACAACCACAACCGGAAAAAAAAAAACCAACACCCCCCCAAAAAAAAAAAAAAAAGGGAAAAAAAAAAAGAAAAACGGGGAATAAAAAAAACAAAACCCCGGGCGGAGGGGAAATTTAGGGGGGGGGCCTTTGGCCGGGGGGGGGCACGGAACGGCGGAACGTAAATAAAATCTGAATGACGCAGTTGTTCCGCAACGCGCATAGCGGAAGTCCGAGGTTCGAATTTGTGAAATACAAATATTGTTTCTATCGGGTAAACACGGGTATACCACGATATATGTATTTTGTAATCGAATGAAATCTGTTTAAGAGGTTTAATATCAATATTTCATAGATAAGACTTTACTTAAGTACTGTTTATATAAACAGAACACTTTTAACTGTTTAAAACGCGAAATATAGTTACCCATTTTTTTATTCATTTTACCGCGGCCCGACGTTTCTAACGTATTGGAGCAATCGTCGGGGGAAAACTTTATGTTAATGTGGATAGTGACGTGAGTTGTCAATTTGTTTGATACTTACACAATAAAAATACCATTAACATTATTTTTCTGTGTGTCCCGCTTAACGATATGGACAATAACATATTTTAAGTTTTAATAATAAATCTGATTTAGCTTTTACGTGGGAATTAAAATAATAATCAATAAAAAAATGTTTATCTAAAGAAACTTAAGAAGAAAGTAACTTATGTGAAATTTATTTTTAACTTCAGCCCGACGCTTTGTCTCCCCGTGACCACGGCAGCAAAGCATCCGAAACTTCGGGCCGCAGTTAAAACTAACTTTCAAACAAGTTTAATATATCGCGTTTTAAACCGTTACAGTTTTTTATTTAAATGTACTACTCGCGTAAACTACAGACAGTAGGTGTTTATTTAAAGGTTATTTTGTTTTTTTTGAGTTCGTTTCTCGTTCTTACCCTTCAAATACACGCTTTCAATCCTAAAATTACTTCTTACTACTAAATTTTAGATTAATTCTTATACAATTCTTTGTTAAGTCAAAAGCATGGGAGATGCGCTAAGTATTCCGGCTTCTAAAATCGGAAATTCACAGACTGAACATTATTGATTGACCTTTAAAAACATGTTAAACACGACGGACATCGAATCCACTACTCGTTGATTATAAGCCACTACCTATACTCGCGACTTCGTCCCCCTAGAATAGTTATTTTCGGCATCTGAATTTGTTATTGCAAATCTTTATAAGGGCCAAAATACTTTTAAGTGCCAAATCCGAGAACACAATTCAGATTTTTTTTTCAAAATTGAAATACTTAATTTCCTTTTTTTAAATGCTGAAATAGATACGTTATAGTTCTATTTATAACACACCTACCTCAGCAGCGATGGTTTAAATGATTTAATAATATTTATAGCATATAATACATCAAGTTGTCGAGAAATTAAACAACTGCGTAACTATTTTACACATGAGGTTATTATTTAATAAATCGGACATTGAGACTTAATAATACGTCACTTTTAAACTGTAGTGATTATATAAATCACCTATAAAGCAAAATCACAGAAATAATCAGTTTCATCGAATATTCATGTTTAATTAGATACACTGCGTTACCTATGTTAAATATTAAAACTTAAACTTTTCCATAAATTACAAAAATAAACTTAAAATTAATTCCAATTGACAACATAGTATTGTTCTTGTCATAAATAGTACGTACGTATAAATTTAAGACATTTTTGACAATAAGAGTCCTTTGTATAATTAAAGATACAATAAAAACAAGAGGGACACAAAAGTAACGCAGTATTAATCTTCGTAACACAGTAGTATTTTTTATATACTATACTTTGTAGTTTTAATAGAGATCTTTATAACAAAACAATTTTAACTGTTCATGACTCGACATAAAATTAAGTACCTCAAGTAACATAAAACGTTTGCCTACGTCAATATTTGTTATGGATTAATATACCTTAATGAGAAAATCAACTGTATAAACTAATGAGGCACTATATCTTCAGTCTTTCTTCAGAAATTTTTTGGCTTGTCATAATTGAAGTATAATCTTTTACCTTTCACGACAACTTTGGGGTTAGGGACAATTTCTACAATGTTTTCGTATGGTTCGTGAGATATATCGGTATCTACTGCTTTGAATCTTTTGCCAGTGTCGTCAATTGTCTTGTAAAACATAATTTTAACGTCCCCTTCTTCATCAACTTTACTTTTAACAACACCAAGGTAAGTATATTATTTTTCCTTAACATAAGTAACTTTTACTAAAACATGGACACCTTCATATATCTTCGTA